GTCTCTAAAAAACATGAACTTTGCAGAAACCACTGCTGTACTTAGATTTCAAATCTGTTTGTTTTCTAAATCAAGAACTTTATAATACTTTAACTGAATAGAGCACTAAGGCTCCTAAGTCAGAGGAACTTCACGGCGCAAAACAACGTGTTGAAACTCAATGTGTTCCAGCTGATTTGAATCATTTAATACCTCCAGTGTTTTTTTCGTAAAATTAAAAGGGAAGGGCTTTTAGAGAGCACTCTTGTTTGTGTCATTAACCAAACTAACGGAGATTATGTTATTTATAATGTGTCGAAAACACATCTCGATTAAAGAACTGGTGTCCATACAACTAACGAAGGTGATGGATTACAAGAGGAAGTTGAAAGGAAGAAATATGAACAGTAGTCTGGTCTGCAAAAACGGTTGAAAACAATTATGGCCGAAACCTGGAAGCCGTGCCGCTAATGTCAATAGTGCGAGAAGCGTGGAAAGCTTCATCAAAAATGAAAGAAGGAACAAGGAGATGAAAGTAGTGAAACCAGCCAAGTGGGCAGCACAGAACTCATCAGGTTCTCAGCGTCACCGATGTCAGCAGGCCGCGCTGTTGTCTGTGCAACGCCTTAGGAAAGCTGAGACCAATAGTGCAATGAATGCAATGCATCCTCGTGGGCAACATACAGTATGAGACCCAGTGGCTGAAATTCCGGCAGCAGCGACATGGGTTAGTTAAATGACGGCGCTTGCGAGGGGCCAAGAGCTCAAGAACTTTTACAATGAGTGACGAGAAGTTGGCATGGCGTAGTTAATGTTGTCTTCTTTAGTCCACTGAATTGATTCACATTAAGTATTCCGAAAGGGAGAGAAAAAAACGAAAAGTGACAGGACGCCCCCACAAAAGTCTTGTAATTTATAACCACACACCAGATTTTGGGCTTTCAATTGGTGACCCGTTGTGCATACAAGCTTGAAAAAAATGGAACGTTTACTATCTCATTTTAAAACCAAGTGAGGCGATTTCAGATTTGACCACCTTAAAAGACAAAAATCCATTTGTAGTTCTTTAACTGAAGATGTGAATAAACAGATCAAATGTGTAAGCTTTTTAAAAATCATTAGCTTGTCGCCTTTAAGAGGTCGAGGGGAAAAGAGTTTCGCAACACATTTAGAAATCAATATCAAACTTTCAGCAGCAAGACATAGTAGTACATAATTACACAACTTGTCTAAATGAAGAGGAGCGTATCAAATGAAACATTAAATGAAACCGGATGGAATGACTTCACGACCAGTAACTAGAATTTGGAGTTTTAAAACGCCACAAAAATATAAAAAGTAAAAGGCTAGTATTACGAGAGTAAATACAACGAGAGAACTTTTGTATAAAAAACCAGGCAGACCTATTAAGTAGCAGAAAGGGCGCCAAAAATCTAAAGCCAAGGAAATCAGAAATCGAAGTGACCATTGGTCGAGAGATTAATTTGGTCCTCATTATCATCTTCTTCACTAAAGTACTGCTCTATTATTTTATATGCTACGCTATAAACCTTCTCATTAGGATGCTGTTGCAGCTCTTCGAGTTTATCTAGTCCTCCAAATTCCTAAAAGTCATTTTGAGCTTATACTGCTTATCTGCCTTGAAAGACCTGGACGGACCAGTCATTCAAATAAATTAATAATTCTCTATAAAGAAGAAAGAGCACAGTCATCAATTATACATGACTTTTACGCATCATTAGCTTTTTACCGACCAACATGAAAATACAAGTTATTGAACTTGCTTTGTTCAAATGCAAATTAATAAGAATACCTCAATATTGTCGCAGGCTGAAGCAAGCGTCATAACACCAGGATCTTGATTTGAGAGGGTAGTGAGTAAAAAGTATACGGTTTCTAAAATGTTGACCAGTAGGTCGATATGACTAGACGGGCTGAGAACTTCACAGAACGCTTTCAAGTAATCGCGCTTCGCAAGACATGAAATTTGACGAGCTGTCCCACCCTGTGAAAGGTTAGCAATAGCCCAACTCGCCTCAACTCGAGAGCGACTGTCACCCTAAAGCTCAAAATAGCGAGTATTAAAACACTCAGTGTCGAAACTCAGTTCTTTAAAAAGACAGACATTTTCAAGAGCATTGATTATTGGAGGAATCAGCTTCGCTTTGATAACAGCATCAATCTGGACCTGGGTACCCGCTATTACATTTGATAAAAGCCAACAACATTCTTTCAAAATTGACTGAGTTTTAGTTTGGCCCATAATATCTCGAACAATATCTAGAACGCCGCTGTCGACTATCACCTAAACTACTGTGTGATGCTAATCTGAAAAAAAGATGTATTCACACCAATACAAAATAGCTCACTTGAGTCAATTCATCGCTTCCAGTAGCAAAGTTTCCAAGAACACGCAGGGCAGGTGCGACCTCACTATCTTTAGTACTCATAAGTAACGTGGTCGCTGGTCGGAGGCAATCACATTCAAGTGCCACATTGATCTGAGCGTCATTACCATCAGTCAAGTATGCTAGTGCCCAACAAGCATCCTGACGGACAAAGACGTCCTAAAAATATTTCACATAATTTCCAAATCCGGGTTAGAAAATGAGAGAAGAGGGAAAACACAGGACCTCGTGCACTAGACATTTTTTCAACCTCGGAGCAATCACTCGAAGAACGCCGATATCAACAGATCGAGATTTATGACGACAAAGGTTTGAATGAAGCCAAGCCAGTGTTCTCACAAACTCGACAGTCAACTCGTTCAATTTTGAAAACAACTCATCAACTGCTTCTAAAATACCCGCCTCTAAGACCAAATCTCTAGTTTCAACGCTGTCTCCTGCGATATTTGCCACAGCCCAGCAACTCTAAAAAAAAATGAAGGCGTGATCGTTTTAAACGAGAAATTAAAAATAATCAAATTTTCTCAATTACAAATACTCCCAGTCCACCCTCTTCAATGTTACCTTCAACCTATACAACTTTTGACCAAAAGTTTTACGAATTTTCATCAGGTAGCTTCAATTCTGACACTCACCTGCTCCGCAACTTGCAAATTTGAAGAACTGCACAATGCAACAAGCGGCTCAACAGCCCCTTCTTTAACAACAGCCATAGTTTGCTCATTTGTACCAGAAACAATATTAGTCAGTGCCCAAGCAGCCTCGAACTGAACTTTCTCGTCCTTAACAAAATATTATTTCTTCACCAAACGCACTCGGAAATTTTGACGTATCAATATAAACCAACGAGTAAAATACCAATTAAATACCTCGACATAGAGAGCCCGTATAAGGGCAGCGATCAGACCCGACTGAATTACTTTATCAACTGGAGCATCTCTTGTACGAGATAGTAAACGTCTTACTGACTCAAACGCAATGCGCAACTGTTCAAGCGAGGGGTTATTTTGAAGTATGGTAACAACCTGACTGATGGCAAGCGTCTTTGGCGTAGTGCTTTGGGCTGTAAAAAAAACAGTCGCTTATATATAATTTCTAATGAATACTGGGTGTAAACTGGAGGACGAAAAAAAAAGGTGGATAGAGGAAAATTTTGAAGTTTACCTGCCGGCTCTTTGTTATTTTCGTCCTCAGTGCAAGACTCAGATTCCGTGTCATCACACGCAATATTCCTTCGCTTCATTAATGCATCTTCACGTTTCTGCTTTCGGAGTTCGACACTGCACTCTGTACGTCTACGTCGCATATCCTAAATTTATAATTACGGAAGCAATACAACAAATAACTACTTCTGTTAATAAATGCCAAAATTGTGAAAAAGGCTTTTCTGATGTAATAATTACGTTTACCTCATGTTTTGCAACATTTTTGTACTGTTTTAAACGTTCTTTTTCACCTCCATCATTAACCTGATTAGTAGCCATATCTCCTAAAAATTAACTCAATTCAAAAAAGTTTGAAGGAAGCTAAACATGGAAGGCAGAAGAATGCATACGGATGACTTCAAAATAAACATAGATGATAAAGAACAAAAAAAACGGTAACAAGACCAAAAAACAAGATCCGTAACCCATCACCGAGCCTATCTAACCCACTGGTTAGTAATGAAATATCCATTTAAATTGATGTAATGTTGCGGCGGAAAAATTTACAGTTTTATAACGAAGGCTGTTAGGCGATGTGTAAAAAAAGATGTCCCAGTTATCGGGTGATCATACTGAGAAGATCAAAGACGTTCACACTGAATCGTTACTACGATATGATAAATATGTACATAAAAAACATAGCAACAATTACAGAAACCAATGCCAGTGCGGATTCCACGAAAGGGAAAAAAAAAGATGAAAAGACTAACAGCAGTAACCTCAAACTTCATTAAACTTCAAAAACGAAAATTTAGCAAAACAGACTAAAAAAAGTGGCCTCCCCTTCTCGTCCTCCTCCTTTTAAACACCTCTAACTGATAACGACAACAACAACGACAACGACGGCAACAATAACAGCAAGTTATTCGAATTGGAACAAGATTTTCCGCGCTATTATACCTATGAAATTATCGTTTTGAAGTTATTATGAAGGTTAGCAGCTCAATAGCTGCCTTTCCTAGTGTTGGCGAGTCTCACACGCAAATGCATAACGATTGTAGACAGCTGCTGATGTTTTTTGCTGGCGCTCCCGCTGAACCAAATCTGATGAAATGAATTGTGCTTACCGCTTAACCGTGACAGAAAATGTGTTCAGATTATTCCTTAAATTCAGGTGCCATAATGGCTAAATGTTAACGTCTTGTTAAGTTTTAATTTAAGAGTTTTTAACTA